GGAATATGCCAAAATGCACTATTAGCATTAAGATCTGTGAAAGGTAGCCATAGTAGAATCAACCAAGGCAATCTTGTCTGGTCAATACTTACTGAGTATGATATTCACAAATTGGTCAGCTACTTTACTGTTGACAATTCAAGCAATAATTTAAGCTGTCTTGATCATTTATCAATACAGTTTAATTTAGCACTGGACGATATAGGCCAATTTTTTGAAACAGGAAGCTGGTATATATATTGCTTTGGTTATATTTTGAATCTAGTTGTGAGAGTTTTTCTGTATGGAAAAAAGTATCTTCGTTTAGATGGTAACGTAGGAGAAAAGGAGGTAATTGTAGCAGAAAATGATGCAATTGATGAATGGCCCAAGATAGGTCCTCTTGGGAAACTAAGAAACCTCAAAACATGGATAAGAGGATGTCTACAAAAATTAGAAGGATTTGTATATACAATAGAGCTGCTATCTAAGGAGGTAACAAATGCAGGAAAACTCACAATTGGAAGTCTAATACGATAGAACAGAGATTTTTTAGCTATTGAGAGAGCCTTACTCATGCACCCAGCGATTGATATTTATATCACTGAGACTGTTACTCATGATCCCCATCTTTCAATTCGTCGCGACACACTTATACCAGATGACTGGAGACACTTAATCAATATTGCACACTTTTTAGAACCATTTACTGACAAAACACTCAAATTACAAGGACATCGACCTCATGGCTATCTCTATAATATTTATCCTTCACTGGAGTCACTACGAAAGCACGTGGCCCTAGCACTAGAGTTTTATTCAGCTTCTATTCTAATGGTTACTTGTCTTACCTCTGCAAACGAGAAACTGAATAAGTACAATTCAAAAAATACCCTCTCACTGATCCTTTGTACATCACTAGTATTGAATCCAAACTTGGCTCTATTTTTTCAAGTTGAATAGGATGAGGATAGGTGATGTGATTGGACTTAAAAAGCACGTCAACTTGTTCACAACCTTTGGGAAAATAATTATAAAGCAAACCCCTCACCACAACCCTTTTCTCAGGCTCCCCCATTCTCCTCCCCAGCATCATCAATGACAATACCAGAAACCTCCTCTTTTCTATCAACTACTTCTACATCACGCTGTTATAAGTGAGTTCGTCTTACTCCAACCACTATTGATAATGATGACCTCTCTCACTATTTAAGATTAATAGATACAAATATCACGATTACTGATCCAAAGGCCTAGTGGCTCGCCAATCGAGCAGATTTTCCTAATCTTTCCTGGCTTGCATTTGATACCGTTTGTGTACCTGCAATGTCTGTAGAGGTTGGACGTATATTTAGCAGGTTTGAATTTCTTTCACTTCAGGTATCTCTTTTTACTTCTCTTTTTTAATTTATTAATTTATCTCTAATGCAAAAATCACAATTACCGACCCTAGAAACAGTTTAGGTAAAGATATTATTGAGGCTGGCGAGTGTTAGAAGTCGTGGGCGCAAGCTGGTCTCATTCCATTTGATGATGCTTCTACAATCACCACTACAGTAGAGGAACTAGAAAATTATATGTTGAATATGGAGGTCCAATGGGTTGGAAGATAGCTTCCTCTTTAACCCTGCCAAGAGGAACTACCATTGCAGATTACACAGGATTAGTGGGTTTAGGAGTCTTCAAGTTGGTAAAAAAGGCTTTTAATTCTGGGTTCTAGTTTTCCAGTGCGTGGACCATATGAGGAACTGCTGGCTTGTAGGCATGAATAAGAGGTGGCTGCTGGTAGGTAACCTGGAGGCAAGTAGTAGTAAGCAGAAGTAGGAAGCAGTACAGGCATGCATGAGTCAGAGGATGGTCATGGTACTTGAATTTTTCTTTTTTCATCCTGAACTCAATTTCGTGCAATCATGTTTTCTACTTTATTTTCTTATCAGATAAAGAGCCAATTTGGATTTTTGTAGTCGTGTTAGGAGAGAGAAAAAGTGAGGAAGAAAAAACAAAATGTGAATGTAGAATAGCCGAGAGGCCAACAGCCCTCTTACAAATTCTGGTAGGAAATTCTCAGGCCAGTCCAGTCCATCCAGTCCGGCCATTTTCCTTGACCAGACTACCTAGTCCATGGCTTCACATCTGGATGGCCTGGCATAGTGTGGACGGCCTCCAGTCCTTCCAGTCCAATCTGGCCTGTTGTGAACACTGGTCAGAATAGGTAGTATAGTGATTTTTAAGAGCTTCCTCTACTATAGCATCATTCTGTAAGTTGGTAGTTTTAGGATTTCTTCCTCTACCCTTATTCTCCTTGCTCTCATGATGTCCCTTTGCAATTGTGTCTCAGACAGTATTGTAGGGAATATTAAGGTAGTAGGAAATTTGCTGATATCCCATCTGAGGCTCATGTAATCTAAGAATACTCTCCCTGGTAAACTCAGAGAGATGTATGGAGGGAATAGGTTTTTTAACATGACTGCAAAGAATAGGAGGCATAGTTTATTGAAAAAAAGAATTGAACAGAATGGTTTCTTCTTGGTTGACTTAGAGCAATTTTTTTAGGTACTGTTGAGAGTGCGGGGTGATGAAGAGGAGTGGGTTGCCACCGATTGTTGAATTGCGGTTAATTTTGTCAACGCACAAATATCATGCTTTTTCTCGCTCCCCCAGCCCATCGGCAATATCCCAGCGCAAGAAAAGGGTGCAGCATAGGATCCTTACTCGAGTACTTGTATCGTCACTCGGTGAAGTATCCCCTATCGGAGATTCCAAGGCTGTTTCATGCTTTTATACAGTACTCGAGTTCTCTGTGGTATCGTAATTTGCCCATGAGTATCACAATGGTGTGATACGATAAATCTACTTACCGGTACCGAGGTTGCGGCCTGAGCCCTACAGACTGGCACCAACCTACATGTAGCAGTTGTCATTGCCCTCCAAAAAGCAACTCCCACATCTGCCGTAATGAAGATTCCCATCATTTTGGCGCAAACTAGATCTGCTGCGCCCGACAAGGAGTTGCCTTTGCTTCCGCCAATCCCAGAACCAACCAAGCCTTTTATCAGGAACTTGCCGTTCAATCAAAAGTGTTGAAGTTTCACGAACCCAATTTCTCCCTTGCCCAAATGACTTAGGACCCGCTTTCCACCGTTATCCTACTCGACATTTCGATGCCGACGTCGTCCCAGCGGAAGACAAACCTAGGAACCTCACTCGTTACCCACAAGCCACCCCCACCATTTTCAGCCACTCCTGAACTCTCGATCAATCGGACGTGATGGAAATATCCATCCCGTTTCCATCACCTGAAAACGTCAGTCTGAAGACAAATTCCCCCCAACCAACGTGTCTGGGACGCAGTACTCCTAAGGATGTAAGAGGAAGGGGATCTATTGCCATAATACAATATACGCTCGGAGAAGTCTTACCTGCGAGGATGTTTCGGAATGATGTTACTTCCCCCAAATTCTCTATCAAACCCTTGTCGATAAAGTATCTTGTATCAAACCTCTGGCCCAGCACCACGCATTCTTCCACCAGGGAGGCCGTGCATTCTGCGCGCTCCCGCATAAGCTCGCAACGAATGGCACTTTGAAAAGTGTCTCCCCACACTCTTACTCACTTTCCTAAGGCAACTCAGGGGACGCGGATGGCCGGGGATTCCTGCTAAGCATGAAGATAGTGGCAGAGGGCCCAGAGCGGACAGCAGCATAGCTCCCACAGATCATACTCCACGTCGCACTCTATGCTTTCTAACCTCTGGAACTAATCTTCCTGCTCTTTATAAAGTTCGACGTTCTCACCGAGACCGAGCTCTCCATCACCACCTGCACACACGCGCACATTCTCGCGGTTCCACAAGCACGAAACACACACGAACAGAACGATAATGTGCTTGTATTACAAACACATATGGACCTGTGGTCACGTCAGGTATATCTTTGGGAAGCACTGCAGTTCAGGGTATCTATTTCAACGACCTTGTCAGGTGCGGAGTGTTTGGGCGAGCATTGATATGCCCGATGAGTGTCAAGGGTGTGGGATTTCGGCGTGATTATTACGCTCCGGCCTTTAGCCAGGGGTATGCAGACCAGCGATCGTTATTCTATATACCGACTAGCAGACTATTGAATACTACCACAACACAGTTTATGCCCCAAGGATACGAGCGATGGGAATGGACGACTAGGATTGTATTGTTTTTAGTCGACAGACGGGACTTGGTTCACAAATTGTATTGGAGCTGAGTACGGCATTCACGACACTTTACACAACCTTTCTTTCCTTTACTATCTCCTAGAGTCAAGGCATTCCCACGATTTCTTCTGTTTATTCGTCTCAACACAAGTATTATTATTTTTAAACCCCATTAACGTACTATTCCCTTCTCACAAGGTTGCCTTGCTATGTGTGAAGCTGAACTTAAGTGTTGCCTCGTGTCATAAACAGCTCAGCCTCCGCAGGGAGAAAGGAGGCTCTAAGAGTTAGGAGAAATTCATGTATCTCAGCACCCCGCACTTCAGCTTAGATGATAAATTTATATAGACCCCCAGAATAACCACCTATCTACGGGATACACGGAACTATCCTGAGATAACAAGCCGCGCTTCTCGCATTGTTTATATTCTTGAGCTTGCGCTAATTCATGAACGATACAATCTCAATTTTACGTCCGACCCCCACAGAACCTCCTGATTATGAATGTTGCAGCTGGAAATCGCTGCCAAATATCGAAGCCTAAGCTACAAAAATCTACCTTACCCACAACCTTTAACCCATCCATGCTGCATGGTTCCATAAATACACCAATAGAATCCTATAACCTACTAACTAATACACCCACTGCTATCTGCCACCACACCATACCACAAACCCTACCCCCTACCATCCTTATTTCACCAAACCAAAACAGCGAGTGATACCAAATGACCAAGTACAAAAGCCGGGTAATCATTCGGAACTAGCAAAGCCCTGTTTTCAACCATAATTGCCGCACAGCCATCATACAGTATGGTACTTACCAAACCACCCATCATCGAATCTACACACCTCACCAGTAACCGAAAAAAGACCTACGAAAAACGACCACCAACTACCGACGATTATCAAAAAGAAGAAAAATGCCCTCAAGAGTGCTAATATCCCTCTCGGCCCTTCTCCTAATCCACTCGTGCGTACCCTCCCCCCGCATCCTCCTTCCCTCTCCAAGCTAACCCTCCCCAAAAAATAAAAAGCTGCTACTCCGCGCACGAACACTCCCTTCTAATGCCAACTACCTCGCTACCGCTGGACGTGGCGGTCGAGATGTTGGTCTCAGTGGTTCTGCTGTGCTTCGGCATCGTGCTAGGAAATCGTGAGGAGTTGAAGCCCATCTCCTGGAGCGTGTGGAGCGGGTTGCTGGAGCGGGAGAAGGGGTATGGACAGTTCAGCTATCTGGAGGAGCGTGTGGGCTTTCTGGATATTAGGGTTTGTTTGTTTTTTTGCCCCCCTCCGGGGTTGAGGTTGAGTTCTGGGCGGTTTGGCTAATTGATTGTTTGGCTGTGGGATAGGCCAAGCGGGCCGAGTTTGCCAAGTGGGTTAAGGGTGCAGAGGAAGGTTCTTCCCCTTAAAACACCTAGTGGGTCGAATGGATTGGATTGGACCAGATAGGTGGGTTAATTGAGGTTAATAGATGGATGGATTATGGATGTCATGTTCCTTCTGTAGATACGATATGGGCGTCGGAGATCTCCTAAAGTGGTCACAATCAAGCTGGTAATCAAGCTGGTAGAATCTGCGCGCAAGTGTTTGCAATAGATATCATCTCGGTGTCACAAGCATTCAGACTTTCAAACCCCAATTCGCCCGTTCGGTCGCTCGCGCGAATTTTAATTTTTTTGATCATCTATCTAGGCTCCGCCTGAAATATGGCATGGTCTAGACGGCTTCCGTGACGAACACCGACCGGCACTTCATAATTTCTGCATAGCAGCGATCTACCCTCCATTGTCAGCAATGCGTAACATGAGTTATACAAGGGACATACATCAGTGCTCTGGACGTGGTCCTCATCACCCTCGATCTCCTGTTGCAGATCGTCAAGAGAGACCTTCTCATCCTCGACAACCAAGTTAATCTGCAACTTCTTGATGCCGAAACCGACAGGGACTAAGGTGGAAGCTCCCCAGACAAGCCCATCTGTAGACAGTTAGTCTATGCTCATTAAAGGTTGGAAGTGATGAGTCTTACCCTTCTCAATCGCTCTAACGTTCTTCTCCAACTGGATCTATCGAGAGGTCAGTATGAAAATCGCTGAGGTGAAGCAAGGAAGCCAACCATATCGGTAGTATCATCCCACGGCTTTACCTCCATAGTGACAACAGACTTGGCCGCTAATATCAGTCAGCAACATCCCCCCGGTAGAGGAGAACAAGATCATACCAGGCTTAGTCTTGCCAGCCTACCCCACTCGATTAGCCAGGGGTGAAAAAATCCCACAACAATAACAGTAAGGGTGGATAAGGAAACTCACCTTTTTGGCGGCATACTCCTCCAACCTCTTCTTGGTAAGGGCCTCCTTTTCCTCATCAACCTCCTCATCTGAAGACCCAAACAAGTCAACCTCATCATCTTCCTCCTCAGCATCAGGAGCGGCAGAAGTGGTAGATTCAGGGATGTACGAAGAGACATCAGCAGAGGCATCACCAGGGAGGCTGGAGAAGTCGTTCTGGTAGGAGTCGATATGTTTGTACCATCTCGCGGCGTGGGGGAACTTGTCGGCGTCGGGTGCTCCAGAGAGTGCCTTGTAGGTGATAACATCGGCTTGGGATGGAGCGTAGCCGACGATGTAACTTCTTGCCTCGAGCCTGCCGTTCAGGTCTTTGATTTCATTATTCTCGTCAGTCGGATTACATGTATTGTAACACTTGACTGATCACTTGCAGTGGGGTAGGTAAGAGAGAACGCACCGGATAAACGAGCCTCAGGAAAGCCCATTGTGTACAGTTGATGTATTTATCTACCGAACGGAAAAAATGAAATAAAAACGGACTCGTGCAGGGTGAGGTTGAAAAAGAAAGGAAGAGGTTTTGTAGTAAGCGAGGTGGATTGGTTGGGAATTTCAAGGCACGACGATTTCCTCTCGAGAGAAGCCAAAGAAAAGAAGAGAAGAGGGGTAAGTTTGTTTGAGATTTTGGGGTGTTGGGTGGGCAATCATTTTTTCTGCCAGTAATGCAACGGGAGGGTTAGGGTCCAGACATTGCTGTTTTACCCTTATTTATAAATCATTTATTCGCTTCCAAACACGACATCGCCAAGCTGGCATACAGCCTAACGGCATCACCCCCGTGAGCCAACCAAAACCATCCCTTCGTTTGATGCCGAATTTCACAGCTTTTTAGCATGAGATCTGTGGTGCGATCAGCAAAAGCTAAACACAATAGAGTAAGCTTATGACGTGGTGATTAGGGGAAATGAGGTCTTGGTTGGATCACAGGTAACAGGAGAGCAACGAAAGTAGAAGTAGGTTAGAAGCATGTATAATAACAACCAACTTCATCAATGGCCGAACAAGAAGAGTGATACAACAGTGATGAGGTTGAAGCTGAATTTGTGAGGTTAGAGGAATATATTGATATGGAGGGAGGTGACCATGAGGTTATAAACGTGAATGGAGGAGTGGATCAGGAAGAGGACGAACGAGAGGAGGAGGAATGAAGATAAAACCATGGTGAAAACCATATCTGAGAGCTTCAACAGCTTCCTCCACTACCTCCCGTTTCCGAAGTTGACCCTTTTGTTCATCCTATGCCAAAACACAAGCAGTGTGCACTACTTCCAGTTGATTTTGATATCGCAGGAAGGGCATTAGGATATTTTCAATTGTTCTTTGATAAGTGTGTATTTCAACAACTCGCCAAGAGTACAAATCAATATGCCGTAATGAAGGTGCAGGAAATGTGACTGGGAGATCGCGTCCCTTGAAACTAACTTCAGCTGTCAAGTTAAAAATATTTTTTAGTATTATCAGCTATATGGGCGTTTTTCCATCCTCTCAGATGTCAGATTACTGGAAGCAAGACAATAGTTTTCCTTCTCATCGTATTGGAATGTATCTCTCTTGTAGCTGCTTTGAGCCCAGCTTCTCCTCTCTGATTTTTCTCCTAAATGCTTTTTTGTACTTTTTTCAACACCACGTACACTATCTCCAAATTCTCGTGTAACATGACCAGTCAGGTTACATGGATAATCCCAAAATGGCCATGATACCAATTCAGGGTATAGCTTTCCCAGAAGGTATGGACACTAGTGACAACGAAAGGCCAGAGACCACCACCCCTGGGGGTTGAAGAGAAAGAAGGAAGAGACCGAGCCTTATGAGCTCCCTGAATTTCATCAGATCAAGGGCCTCGTGATGGACCTGCTAAATGCCCAAGGGCCCAAGAAACAAACTTCTGCCAAGCATGCCATCGGCAATGCTGAGGACGAGGACTTTTCTACTAAAAGCATCACTATGATGTCCCTAATTATTACCAGGGTTACCAGATCAAGGTGCTCAACGTTATGATGCAAAATCTCACTTCCCTCATACAGGAGCAAGGTGTGGCAGTGGCAAAGGTAGCAGAATGGCCACCACCAAGGAAAAAACAGGTTGAGTCATATGTTGAGGCAGCATCCAAGCCGGAGATTGAAGTGATCCTGGCAAAGAAGAAGAAAGGAAAAGGGAAATGTAGTTTAGAGGAGGGGCTCACCTCACGCAAACAACTGGCGCCTAAGGAGCCTAAAATACAGGAACAAGGCAAGGGCAAAGACGACAGGGAGTGGACAACAGTCAAAAGCCCTAAACCCCAAAGCCGATCTACAGTGGCCAAATGTAGGATCTTTGCCACAAGGACAATGGCAAAACTCCTCGCCAATCCGGTGGCAGAAGAAGCAAGAGGAGTAATAGTTCTTACCAATGCACTGGTGAGTTGTGTGTACAAGGCACCAACCGATCTGGAAGTGTCTTCGAATAGGATAAATAGCGAAATTATGGTTCCTGTACCACAGGAAGCGGATTCAGGACAGTACTCCAGATACCTGGAGAAGATGACTGAGATGCTGAAATCGACAAACCCTGAAGGAGAACCAGTGTATCTTTCTTTCAGAATAGTCCCAACTGACGTCAACATCTTGGTACATGGCATTCCACTAGGTGCTATTCCATTTGACCCAACTGAGCTGGATAAAGAGATCAATCAACACTTTAAAAGTACACACAGAATCGACCTCACATTGGCCAAGTTCCTGAAAGCAGATATGGTGAGTAGGATAGGAAAGAGGGCTACCTCCTTGATGCTAAGATTGCCAGAAGCAGACGCTGGGAAACCTACCCCACAGGTGGTCTTTATGGGAAAGGTTAAAGAATCGAAAGGTCATGTAGTACATGACCCCAGCCATGCAATGCATGAGATGTTGGAAGTTTGGTCACCCCAAAATAGGATGTCGGGACAAAGTGGATATTTGCCCCCTCCGGTGCAAGACGCACCCCGAGGAAGATCGCAAGAATGGACAAACGAGTTGTAGAGGACACACAAGACTCATACCAGGTTGGTATTCGATGACACGGGCCAGATGTCCAGTGTGTATGGGATCACACTCCGCTAAGGACAAAGATTGCCTGGTATGGGTCAAAGTCAAAGAATAAGAAAAAGAAAAATACAACCAACTGATGGCCTCCTGAGCTCACGTTGGTATGACTGGTACTCAACATCAGCCTGGTGGGCTATATGTCGAGCGCATCCGGACAAAGAACAATGAAAAGAATGAAGTTGAAGGTTGTCGAACATAAGTGGGAGAGGAGCAAGGATGTTTTTATTTCGTTATTTCACATAGTTAAAGGGTTTAATGTTTCCTTTATATGTATTCAACATCTGCCCCTGTATAGTGAGGCCCCGTTAAGGGCACTAGAATATGAGTGTGTTTTTCAAAACAGCAATAAGGTTAGGGTAGCAACGTATATTTCCTTGTGAGTGTTAGCAGGTGTTTCCTTCGTGGTGGTACTGGCGGCTGAAAATGTAATATATTTAAGAGTTTTTAGCAGAGGAAGGCGGCTTGTGGGAAGAAGTTTTTCCTTTGTTTTATTGAATGTTTATAATTGGTAGGTAGAGGGTGTCAACAAAGTTGAGCCCGCTAGTTTGTTTATTAAGGAGCAAGAGCCCACCTTAGTGGTGGGAGACTTAAACGTATACACCATGTTCATAGACCCCCTGAGGACCTCAGTTATGGAGAATGGTGACAAGGGGAGCTGTACATGCGTACAGCAGTGTGACATGGTTACAATGTCCTAAATATGCCATGGATCTACACCAGGTTCTCGGAAAAAACCTGACATTGCACAGAGCCTCCACCATCAACTAGTTCTTGGCGAATGTAGTAATGCTACAGAGGATAGGTAGATGGAGGGATCTGTACCAAAGGATGAGCTCGGACCATATAGTCATCCTTACTGAAGTTAATAATGAAGAGGCAGAGCTAGCCAGACCTGCTCCAGACTGGAGCAAAATAATATAGCGAATGGAGAAGGGTGAGCCAAACACCCTCATTGAAATGGCCTTGAAAGGTTATATAAATGGTCCGAATAGATACGAACTAATCTTAGAACCAGGTGAGGCGGTATATAATTTTCAAACTAGCCTGAATAAGCTGCTCCACAATGTTCGAAGCTGGGCACCGAAGAAAAAAAACTAACAAAATGGTTGAAGAAATAGTAGACACCTGGTTGAGAAGGGTATATACTTCTGAAGCTCGGCGTGTAAGGTGTAACGGGACAGGAGTAGAAGAGAGAGATAGGGTGAAGAAGGCATACAGGAAAGCACTGAATTCCGTGAAGAGGGCGCATGGGGATGACTTCCTAGTAATCGCCAAGAAGAACAATGTGTGGATGGCTCACCAGTTCACTAGACAGAGGATATCTAGTAGAACACCAGGGGGAGCCAACACAATCCCTGAAAGAACTAAAAAAGCAATAATATAACACTTCCTTTCTACGAATGAAGACCCAGTCTCCCGACCCATCCCGAATACACAAAGGCCGTGAAGGGAGGATCAGGTTAAGTAGGAAGAGGTGGGAGAGGTGCTGCAGAGGTGTATCAACCAGTCCGCTTTGGGGCCAGATCAGGTGCCTTATGGGGTTTGGAAAGCAATCCATAGTATGAACCAGGAGATAATACCAAGGCTAATCGAGAATCTGCTCGAATGGGGGATCCACTCCCCGGTGCTCAAACAATCGACCGGTGTCATACTACCAAAGCCAAATAAATAATACTACGTGGATTGCTCGAGCTTCAGAGTCATAGCTTTGATGCAGACTTTCTCCAAGATGACGGAACGCATAGTGAACTTGTGGTTGATAAAAATCGCATACGATCAAGGTCTCTACTGCAAAAAATCAGACTGGCAGCTTGCCCCGAAGGTCTACAGTGCATGCTGTGGCGTTGCTTCAGCATCGGATCAAAGAGGCACAGTTTGCGAAGAAGAAGGTATCTACAATCTTCTTAGACGTAAAAGGGGGCTTCGATAACGTAGATCAAAACTAGTTGTCAGATAGGTTAGAGGGGGTTGATCAAATTCCCTGGTACCTTGTCAACTGGATATAGAGTTTTATCGCTACAAGAAATGTCTCCCTTTCATATGGCGGGAGCCCCAGGAGAGATCATACAGTCAACAAAGGGATAGTGCAAGAACCACCACCGTTCCCGCTCCTTTTTGTCATATATGTTAGGCTGTTGCATCTTGGGCGTGGCTTAAAGGAGATGTTTACTTCATCTTATGTTAATGACTTCCAGATCATAGTAGCATCGCATTCATGGTACAATAACTCCAGAATCCTAGAGACCGAAACTGAGAAGATGGTCGCTACGGCGCAGAGTCTAGGATTATTGTTTAGTTTGGCGAAGACCGAGCTCCGGCATTTGAGAATGAGGAGAGAGAAGGGCCCTAGGCCTAATCATACAGTTAATGCGCACTCTCATGTCATCAAACCCGCCTGCACCCTGGTCAGATGGCTGGGATACTGGTTGGCTAATGATAGGGAAACCAGCTCTCATTTCCAGAAAAGGTTGTCATTGGCACAAGGGGCCTTTGGGAGGATTCAAAGACTCTTAATGCCAGGGAAGGGCCTTACACTGTATGGGGCGAGGAGA